ATGCATAGAAATATATGCTTTAATTCATAGTGAATCTTGGTTTTAAATGACACAAATACTAAATGTTGTTGGAATGAAATCATCCCTGTTCATTCAATCAAGAACTACAAACAAATACAATTTAACCTCTTACCTGACAAATGGCAATATTATCAAAATGCATAACAGGCTATTGTAAAACCACAAATTCACCCAAATATTTTAAGAACCTCTTGATCTGGCTCTGCCAGATTCCATATACTTCTGCATCAATATATCAAAATAGAGATCATTTTTATACTTCAAAAATCACCCCAAAGAATTCATTCAGACTTGGCATAGCATATATAAATGTCATATTTATAAAAGTACAGCTGCCTCAATGAGTTGACTTATTAAAAATATTATGACTTCTAAAATAATTGAATATCTGAGTCATGTTTAAAGTATACACACCCTATCCAATATATATCAATATGCTGAGAGTTTTCACATAAAACAGCTATTTAACAAACAAAACAGAATGAGATAAATGTCATTGTGGGTTAAAAGAGAACTTTGATCTTAAGTTTTATTAGGTCATTTGTGTTTATACATATTTTTATGGGACAAGTTAAAAATGAGATCATTCTTTAAAATAAATATTTTTAAAAAATCATAGTCTGAAAGACCATCTATGACTTATCTCTTATAATCTTAGCACCTAAATTCTTTATACAACTTCGTAGCTTTCCAAGAAACCTCCTACCTAAACAATGTAACCTAAACCTATGGCTATTTAGAGACCCCAAATTTTCTTGATGTTTCAGTTCTGGATGCAGTCTTGGCTTCCCAAGAGTTATAATAAAACTTTTGTATCTTTCCACCAACCTTGCACAGTTTTTATTATTTCAGAGAAGTAATTCATATAGAAGAATAAAATGACAGCATTTCCTAGCTCATTGTTATGCAGCTATTTCCATCTTTCCTCCCAACATTTTATTTCTATCTAAAGGAATAATTAATACACTAACACAAAATGCCTACTACCAACAGTTTAAAAATGCCAAAGGCTAGAATACTGGGAACTTAATATTTTGCTACATTGTGCAGATGGTGTCCTCAGTTCTATAAGATGGCCATCACTGTGTTGCTGTTTAGAAGAGCTGTGGAGACTTGGCTCTTCACCCAGGCCTTTAGTGAGGGAGAGTGAATCCCCTCACTTAATTTGATCTGGTCTATCATGCTTGCCATCTTTTATCATTTATCTTTTATTCATGTTATTGTAAGTTTTATTGTTTGTTATGAGCTACTTAGAGAAATTGGACAACACATTAATTTATTATTATTGTGATTTGTTCAACAGTCAGATATTTAGATTGGATTCGGCATTTTTATTTACCTATTGAGTCCTTTCCTGGGATAGGCAAATATTGTTTATTGATGTTAAAGGTATCATCACAAAGTGTGAGCTGTTCCAAGTAAAGTTGCTTTTTCCAATTGATTGATGATGATTTTGTCAATGCTGATGGTGTTCAAGTGGTATTCCAGTTGTTTTGGGATTGCACGCAAGGCATCTATGACTAGTGCTACTATCTTTACTTTCTTTGCCAGTCATTCTATTTCCATTTGCAGATTTTTTTTTGTATTTTGTTATCTTCTCCAGATCTTTCTCTCCTATTTTGCTGCCTCCAAATATATCCCACTAGCCAGACATTTTTGTCTTTTTTATCGACAGTTGTAAAGTCTGGGTTTTTTTGTGGCAGATGCTTGTCTGTTTGAATAATAATAATAATAATAATAATAATAATGATAATGATAATGATAATGATAATGATAATGATAATACACAAAAATGACAGTGTACACAGAAAATGAGATAACTATGCTGGGTTTTGTATCACAAATCACTTGTCGAACACTTCCCAAGTGTTTAGGAAAGCATGATGTATCGGTGGATTAGGCGAGCAGATCCCAGTAAGGTGGCCTTCTGCAGCTGACCAATGGTGATTTTGTCAGTGCCAATTGTTTTTACGTGCTTGCCTAAGTCTTTAGGCCAAGTACCACTGGAACCACCTGCACTGGTTTATGCCAGAGTTCGGTTTATGCCAAAGTTATGCAGTTCGATTTTCAAGTCCTGATATCTGGTGACTTTTTCAAGTTGGTTCTCATCGATTCTGCTGTCAGCAGGTATGGCAATGTTGATGATCCACATTTTTTTCTTCTCCACAATCGTGGTATCTGGGGTATTGTGTTCCAAAACTTTGTCAGTCTATATTCGGAAGTCCCACAGTAGTTTTGTATGCTCATTTTTGTCCAATTTTTCAGGCTTATGACCCCACCAATTATTTGCTACAGGCAATTATTATTATTATTATTATTATTATTATTATTATTATTATTATTATTATTATTATTATTATT